GCGCGAAAAACACTATCCACTGGTTTGGCATATACTAAAAAGATATAACAGCATGATTACATCAATATATTTTGGCAGAAATAAAGCTCGCGCTTGACGTATAAAAGTGTTAAAGATATCTCATGGTATTAATTTATGTCAAATATCACTACAAATCATGATGTTACCCAGCATACTAACAATACAAAAAGTTGATTTGTACGTTCCAGCCACTCAATTTTTAACATGTGGTGACATTAATATCTGCTTGCACGAAATTGTAATAGTCGTTTTTTTATACTTTAAATGTCTTTTCTTCCTCTTTTCTCTTTATCCATCCTTGCTTGGTTCTTTTTATCTTTGTTTCCCTCCAGAAACAGAAACCATGGACAAACAAAACAAACCATCTGGCTCTAAAAGAAAGATCAAGAAGAGGTATAGTTGTAATAGGGTTTTTCTGAAGTGCGGGAGAGAAACCAACGCCATTCCATGATCAGGATGACTGTCACCATTGCATATTGCAGAACTCTGGAACTAAATGCAACACACATCCAGCAATTTTTACGAAAATTCATAAATATATATATATATATGTAGGAGAGGTAGTGTGGCACACGAGGAAACTTAGAAAGGAATTAGATTTAACCAAGAAGTTGCGACAAAGATCGCATCTTATCGAGGGTTTTATTAGGACAGACGTTTACTCAAAGCCAACTGATAGTCATCTGTATCTCCCACCATCAGGTGCTCATCCTAAACACGTTTTCAAAGCGATCTCTTACAGTGTGGCGACGAGGTTACAAAGAAATTGCTCCGAACAAGCCTTTCTTGTCAAGAGAATAACCAAATACAAGGGTTATCTGGTTACTCAGGGTCACCCTTCTAAATTAGTGGACGACCAGTTTCGTAAGGCCTCTACCATACCCAGAAGTGATCTACTTAGGACTCAGGCCAGATCTAAGAGGAAATTATTCCCATTTGTGACCACATTTAATCCAAATTTACCTGATGTAAGTCGCATCATTAAAAAACATCTGGGTATTTTGGAATCCAATCCCAAGTTAAAAGAGCTTTTTCCTTCAAATTCCATCATAGCATCCTT